AAAAAAAAAAAGAGAGACTTCTTCTTCCAATAACTATTTGAAAGATCTCCATCATTTTTTTCCTTTCGTACCAAATGAATATTGGAGTCCACTTGTTTTTGCAAGAATTTCTACTCCACTTAATGGTTCAGGAGCGAATCTCAATTCTGGTTTACCATTAAATGCTTTCTTCTGCTTCCTATATGGATGATTACGAGGTAAAAACTTACGATGCCCGAGATACGCCACCTTCCTCCCTTTTGGCAAATAAATGGATGAAGTTTTCTCCCCACAAATTGGACATGCGTGATATCCTTTTACCGCACAACCACACAAATTCCCATACGCAGGAAAATCATTAATAGTCCACAGTAAAATAGTTTTAAGTGTAAAACACCGTTCTTCATATGCATCAAAACATTCAACTCCATCATTCCAAAGCTTCTTCAAATCATCAACTAATGGAGCTAAATAAACATCTATGTCATTTCCTGGTTGTTTGGGACCAGATATTAATGCAGTCAACATCAGAAATTTTCGCTTCATGCACAACCAYRGGGGTAGATTGTAYGTCACCAACATAACTGRCCAAYAACTATATTTACTATTTTGTTCACCATGTGGATTGACCMCATCTGTTGAAAGAGCAAGAYGAAGGTTTCTAGGCTCTAGACCAAACTCTGGCSACAATTTGTCTACTTCTTTCCACGAAATTGAGTCTGCTGGATGTCGTATATATCCATCACTTACTCTTTTTTTGGCATGCCAAGTCAACAAACTTGATATTTCTTTGCTTCGAAACATTCGTTGAAATCTTGGAATTKGAGAGAAGTACCACATGACTTTGGCCGGAACATTTTTCATTGCTTCCTTTGAATCTTTACGAARCTTCCATCTTGATGTTCCRCAAATGRGGCATTCATCTGCATCTGAGAGTTCTTTTCTAAACAAGCAACAATCCTTGCGGCAAGCATGAATCTTCTCATACTTCATCCCAAGAGTACATAAAGTTTTTTTTGCTTGATACATAGAATTTGGAATTTCATTAGGACTTGGTAACATATCACGAACTAATGCCAACAACTCTGTAAAACTTCTATCGCTCCATCCAAATTTCGCTTTCAAATTATATAACTTCAATAATGCAAATATTTTGGTAAAGTTCTTACAATTTGGATATAATGGTTTCTTCGCATCACCTAGTAGCTCCTCGAAATTTTCTGGACTATTGTCAAAGTAATCATATGCAGCCTCAAACATCCCTATTGTGTCATCAAAATCGTCATCCTCAACTTGTTCTTGTGCACTAGTAGACATACTTTCGATGTTTCTCTTAATCGATATTGATTCACCATGCCAAATCCATGTCTTATAGCTTTGATCAATACCATAAACAAATAAGTGATCTCTTACTACATTCACATGTTGAGACTTTGCATTTACACACTTTAAACATGGGCAACAAATGACATTTGATCTTTTTGAATGTCGTAATCCATTTTCAATGAACATCTCAACCCCTATACTATACTCGGTTAACATTCTATTTTTTGTCATCCACGACTTATCACTAATTAAATCCCCATAGAGACCTTCAATATTCTCCATCAATTTGCTTTCAGAAAACTATAAACCTGTGACCTTCAATATTCTCGAAGACATGGTGTAATAGCTGGTCAGGGATTTAAAAAAAAAACATCACGGTATCACCCGCTGAGTCCTGATATCCACAATACACTTATTGGACTAGAAATTCGCATGATTCTGAAAATGATCTGTGGTGGTGATGAAAATCTAAAGACACAAATGAAACGTGCCCAAGGAGTAAAAGTGATTGTTTGTTGTTCCCAAATGAAGAA